CCCCAAAACCCCAAAACCCCAAAACCCCTTGGTAGTCCGAGAGATTGAAATATTACTAAAAATCTGTTTTTTATATGTTTCTCTACACAAATGATTTAGAAATAGCTTCTAGCCCAGACTGGGATTTCCTGAGGTTGATCGTAGGCTTAGTTGATAGCTTTCCTGACATCTTAGAAGCCATCAGTTTCCTGAGGATTGCATTAGATACTTTCTTATTTTTACCTAAAGTGTTTCAGTAATCTTCAAACCACAATTATTTCAAATGAAATTCTTTCAAGGTCTCAAAGTGTTTAGAAACTGATCATACAGGACAAATTCTTATTTAAATTGGAAGAAATGAGCTTACTTGAGGACATAATCCCATTCAAAGAACTGTAGGATTTGATCCTATTGTGCTTAGTATGATTAGAACTGCTCCTGTAGAAATTTCTCTGCAATTCCTGACTTGTAGTATTCTTCTTGATATCGCTGATTAACATCTTAGGTTTCCTTCTCTTTAGGTTTTCATGAATTTTATTTTGAGAATTTAGGCAGCTCTAAAATTAGTTTCAAAATTTTTGATTTACTTGTTATCGAGCTATTATTGGAGTTAATGATTCTTCCTGAGTTCAACTTGGAGCTTACAAATCTGTTACTGTACATATTGCTATACGGATGGATTTCCTTATTTAAGATCTAGAGGCAGCTGATTTTTCTTATTTTCTCGAGACCTATCCTGATAATCTAGTGACCTAAAATTAGCAGCATCTTTAAGAGGATTCTTAATGATAATGTTTTGTTTGCCATTTTCCAGCGGAGTGCCCTTAGTCCTAGAGATATCAGGAATTCGGTTGTGAGTCTTGATATCGATGAAGTCATTGTTATAGACAAACTCCTAAAATAATTTCTAACTATGCTTACTCTATTCTTGTTGAGAATTGAGAGGTCTACCGATCAATTAACTTTACTGCTTTTTCTTATCCTCTTCTTATGCTTCTTGTTTTGAGCCAGCTTCTCAAGGATAACTTGGGAAGATTTGATTTGGCTTCCCATGTTCATCCTACTCAATATTTTAGGAACAGAAGGGACTGAATCCACTGAATCAGATCTTTCATGCTCTCCTTGGAATTTATGGTTGTCAATCTCAGTGATATTTACTGATTTGTTTGGATTCAATAAACCTACTTTTGCAGGTCTTTCGCTTGTATAAACTTTATGCCGTAACTGAGAGAGACTACTCCTATTCCCTTTCCTAGTCTCAAGTTCTCTTCTATCAGAATGGATGTCATGAATCTTAGGCTTCTGGTTGCTCATATTTTTCTTCTTGATTTTCTCTCTACTTCCTAGAAGAAAATGTAATTATTATATTTAAAATTATGAGGTTTGAGCTTACTGCTTGGGCTTTTACGAATCTGACTCATTTCTTTAATTCTTTCCCTCTTACTCACGTTTATCCGAGGAAGACTTTCTGATTCATTCTTGCACTGATCATAGAAATTATTCTGGGATTCTTTCGTGGAATATTGGGATTCTGGTAACCGATCGTATAAGCTCGTCAGATTCTTAGGCAGCTTTATTGTTTTTAATAAGATGCTATCACTTTCAGAATCCGAAAAAAGGAGTAATGCTTCTTTCTTGCTTTTAACTAATTTGCAATTAAGTAAAGCTTCTCAGGAAGGTCTCTCCTTTCAGTCAACTATTAGCATTGCTTTGATGATATGTCTTAATTCTTTTGAGTATCATGAGGGAATCTGCTGGTATTTCCCTTTAATGACTTTTTGGTATAAATGCTTCATATCTTTTCCTCTAAAAGGAGGTTGTAATGCGCATAACTCGTATAGAACTCAACCTATCGACCATACATCGCTTTTGAACCCATAGGGTTGGTCTTTCCATACTTCTGGCGAGGAGTAATAAGGCGTGCCAGTTTGTGTAACACACAAACTTGATTTCATCACTTTTGAGACGTTTAAATCTCCTAATTTTGCAACAGAATTTTTGAAGAGGAAAACATTTGCGCTTTTGATATCCCTATGCAGAATCTTCATTTTATGAAGAGATCCTAATCCTTCTAGAATTTGTAAAAAGACCCTCCATATATATGTTTCATCAATATACTCTCCTATTTTCTGTTGCCATGCAATCTTGTCAAAGAGGTCTCCCTCATGAGCATATTCCATCACGATTCAGAGAGTTTCTGAAGGATGGTCAATAAATGCTTCTTTAAAAGTCACAATATTCCTAAAGAATCATTATTAAAATCCTTAAAACTCATGCTAAAGTTCTTTCAACTTACTGATGCTTTATATCGACGCAAGAATTCTGACCTCATTTAGTGAATTAGACTTCTCTTTCTCACTAAGGTTCAGAAGGGGAACTTTCTTCATAGCATATGTAATGCCGTTATCTATCCTCTTGACCTTATGAACACTAGCGTAGACGCCTTTCCCTATTTCTTCAGTGAATTCAAAATTTGCTAAAGCCATTATTAATATATTGTTAATTATATTCCTGGGGTTTTGGGGTTTTGGGGTTTTGGGG